ATAGGCGACAAGAGGCTTCTATCATTATAATTTGAATCTGATTTTATCAAATAAATTTACTCTATCATGAGAGACTATGTATTATAATACTCTGAGATGTGAATCATATGCATCTTATGTTGGAAGTTAATGTTAATTCATTAACACAAGAATTTTCAGTGGCTGATGTGCTCGTCACATTAAACACATATTTGGTGTGGTCCAAACTAGAAAACCACATCTGAGTAGTCACACATCACAGACAAGATGGCTCAGAGATAATCCGAAGCATTTATAGAGAATGACCATAGGTGTATTTTCTCATATTATTATAATTATACGTGAAAAGACATCCTTCAAGCCTAATCTGTCTTTCTAATTACAACACAGGCCAATATCTAGTAAAGATAGTCAAAATCTTAATGAATGACTGAAGATGAACACTGTATTGTTCCGAAATTTATATATATGTATATATATATTTCAAAATACTTTATCCTCATTAACTTCGGAAGCTTACTATAATGCTGCATTAAACCTCGCTAATCCTAGACTAACTCTAGTAATCTATTGTGAGTTAATTCTGAAATTGTTCTGAAATGGTTTGATTGTGTGCAAAGACTAGAACTCATTGCTGGATTTCAACAGGACTGGCACTTATTCAGAACCAGGTGCATTTTCAGAAGAATTCATTATAAATTATTCAAATTAATCCCAGCGAAACGTTCAGAAAAATCTTGTTTTGATTTTCTAAACGCGCTGGGATTAATTTGAATAATTTAAAATGAACTAATCTGACTCGGCGCTCAAATTATTCCAGGAAGTTCGTAACACCTACGGCCTGGAAACCTATAATTTTCAGAAGAAGCTCAGAACCTACTGAGTTTACTAGTAGCTAATTAAGCCGACTAATGAGCTTTATCTCAGCCGTATCATCTCAACTTCAGCACTGACTGGCATAACTTCAGGACAAAAAAACTAAACTCAAAGCATTGTAGCAATTTTTCAGCTTTATTTCGGCATTAAATCCATTATTTCATCTGCCTTTCCCATTCTTAAAGTTCCGTCCCATTAATTAAGGGTTAAGTGTTCTTTTACAGGACAACCCACGTTGTTTCAACATCCAGTGGGTTATTTATAGGTAAATAAAATATCCATTTACAATAAAAAGGCATTATGAACGATTAGGTTAGAATTAGTTTAAAATTATTCTAAGCTTGAGTTTTAGATCCTACACCCAAATAACATACTGCCATCAAACTCAATCAAATCGATCGAAAAGGCGACCGAGAAACACCTTTGAATAGCTACAGCTATTGATAAATATGCATATTTATAATGATAATAAACATGTTAATTTTCATTTAATGGTGTACTTTCTAGGAGGCGGTATATGAATTTATGGATTAAACACCTACTTGAAACACAAACGTAAGTAAAATAAAGTTAAACAACTCCACAATAACATGTTTAGACATTAGTTTCAAAACCCTACATGTTGCCATTTAGAAAAGCGCACTCGTTAATTGTTGTCACAAGGCGCAAATACTAGTTGATTCAAACAAAAGCACTGCTATTATTTAGGTTCATTCAGACTTATATTTCGAAGGCGATGAAAATGCGAATGATTTAAATTCTCTAGTTTTTATCTTGTTCTTGCCAAGTAATATACCTAAACTTTTGAGATGATTGTTATTCTAAGACAAGTATTGATGTAAGACTTATGGAGAACAGTTACTATCCTCACTGAAATATAACATGAAATTAGTAGCATGAGTAGTGATTTTCACAACGATCAGCAACTTCGTTCATTGATCCTCTATATAATATACAATTTCCAGTAGGTATGTGATGCGATGGAACCAAGTCAGGCACACTGAAATGTATTAGTCTTTTAACCCAACTTCATGGAGAAGTGAAATGCTGCAAATCATGAAGAGTTATAATTCTTCCGTTGTCACCTACCCGTTATTTCTGTATTTCTTCGCTTGAGTGACCCTAAATTTTGTAGATCATCGTGTGTGACGTGGCCACCAAATAAGGATGCGCGTATACATTTGCATATAACCTTCTCATGACTCTTAGTGTTTCCCTATATTTGGCTACTGTAGATTGCTTCCATTTCTTATTGTTACTTTGAGTACTATGCCGTCAAATTACTGAAGTTGCACTTTATATTCCATCTTACACTTTTGTGTAAATTAGGCCACTTCTGGTTCGTTTTGGTCTGCTGAACCTTTTCTTATTTGAATGCACATTTTCGTTAACCGCTAACCCTTTAGTGTTCAGACATTGTGCTCTTGGCATTTGGATGCCGGATAACCTCACAGTTGAACGCTTGTGTTGTAATTACTTGATACATTTTGTTAAGTAGAACAAGAAATCTTGCGGTATGCTCAACAATTTTGGTTTATATTCACATCTATTCGGGCACTTTCAGTTTTGTTCTGAACTTTTGGTTGAAGACTGCCATTTCGTGTCTTCATTGAGAGTCATCCGTACGCTATCCAAAACACTCATACTAGTGTTACTCTGAAGCTTTAAATTTCTGGACCACAACAGTAGTCGTTATTATAGGGCGCCTGTTTGCAACGAAAAGGTGTTGGAAGAGGACTTTATTGCAAACCAGAATAAAATTCATTTCCTTGAACTCCCACTGTAACAGAGTAATTGACAAGCCTTATAAGGGACTATGTAACTAATCAAATACAAGGATGAATAATCTCCACTATGCTCAACATCGCTTCACAAAACGCTTGATACCTGCTCCAAATCTACTGACGAATCAGCTTGACAGCATATTGAAACAGGAATGTCGCTGTCAGTTTGCTGTTCGTGGAAGTTCACATAGTGTTGTATCGTTCCACATGATATTATCTTCCTAGGAATTCTTTCGGGTAGGAATCAGAAAACAACTACCATTATTGGGTGTTGCCTATCAGGAGGATTAGAAATTCCTCTCGGAAGTAATTCATGTGTAACATATTTTAGTGTCAATCACTAGCTTACTCAGAGAAGAATTCCCCTATCCCACTGCACAGTGAAAATAACAAGCGGTGAAGAATCACAGAGGCTGAGAATAATTTGTAAAGCACACAGAGTCATCTGGTGATAACGAAATGTATGACAAAAGGGACAGTATAAAGTCATTTGTTTCCAAGGATTTTAGGGGCTTCTCGTGTAGTATTCGTTTCCTGTGCCCAGCACTAAAACTGCATATGATTTATGCTTGGCATAAGAGACTGTATGCGAAAGCGAAACACTTGTGAAGTGTATCAGCAATCGAAAATGTCCTTCTAAATGCAGGGAATCGATCCTTGCGTCCTACTGTGTATCTGAACAAAACTTCCTTAAAAAAGCACTTTCACAAAATGCTCCAAAAGCAGCAAAATTAGATCGTATGTAATTGCATTTGCATGTGGTTTTAATCAGCGATAATAACATCAAAACTTAAAACTACGTAGACAGTGCCATAAGTCAGCCATTGACACGATGCAGATTATTGAGCAGAAACAAGTAATATGAGACAAAATTAGTTAACTCAAACAGTTCAAGTTAAGAATGACTTCGTGTCACTCAGACAAAGTCACATCATATAACATATCATTGTACATGCAATCGCAAATCGGAGCGTTAAAATTATGGGTTAAACAGGGACGAGGACTGATAACAACGATCCAATCAAATTCTGACATGCAAATGTCAGAAGGGTGATATGCAATCTGGGAGAAAAACGGATATTAAATACAAAGTTAGATGGAACATCCAAATAAGCATAAATATTATGATTTGATAGTTCATGGATGATATTCCCAACAGTTCTTCTCTAACAGTCCCTTACTTCAAGCTCAAACAATTAGCACTGAAAATCATCGGTCATTAACTATAGTTATTAAAGACAACAATCTCCTGAAACAAAGACGGGGAAAGAGATAGGGGCTGAAATAGGACTAGATCGAATGCCCAACGATGTAACAACACACCTGCTGGGATTTTAGAGACAAGTTATTGGGGGATTTTGATTTACTTGTAGGTCGCCTATAAAAATATTTAGCCATTATCAAATTAGTGAATCACTGTACTGTAATAGAACATCGCTATCCAGGCCAGAAAACTAAGATGGTAGACTCTCTGGAGAACTTTCCATAGAGAAGACTTGAGTGTTGCTAGAATCGTTGACCCTGAAAAGTTAAATTATCTAGAAAAGATCTAGGCTATAGGAATTCATTCACCTGCATGATAGAGTGAAATTGGTAAGAATTTTTGAAAGTAATAAAATTAATTGCGAAAATGAGTTAAATGCTGAATCTTCTTCGATCAAAGCGACACCAAAGAAGCGAAGTAGATATAACACATATCCTTTACTGGATATATCGAAAAAACTTAAATGAGGGAGGATGGAGGCCGATAAAATTATGCAAGGTAAACTATGAAACGACGTGTACGCAATGCCATGTTGGCGAACAGTCAGTTGTGCTCGGAAATTTATTTAATTACTAAAACTGCACCACTGTGAATTATATAAAAAAAATGCATAACATAATTCTACCATCTGATAATTTCCAAATATATACATCAAATATCTGTTGATTTCCCAAAATTTTTCCCTCTTCGGTCACAAATACTGGGAGATTGAATGTGGTGAACCAGTTTTCTAAATCTGTGAGTGTACAAGACATGAATTAATAATCCATCAACCTGTGCTTTATTATTCCAACACCATTGTTTTACTTTACCTTTCGTTTAGTACAGTTATCAACTTGTACACTCCTTGTCCTATCTTTTACATCCATAACTTTGCCAGTGACATTTATTATTTCACTGTGCGCTCTTTTCTACCCTGAAAAATCAGCTGTTTCTTGGGGTATAATCGTTCTTACAAACCTTTAGTATTTTAGAAGGACACACCATGTGAATAACTTAAAGGATCATAGTGTAATCCACTGACAAAATACGAACTTTCGGTCTGTGTGAAGCAACCAAATCTGGCAAGTCACCTGTCTTAAACAGGACCGTCGAAAATGTATAATATGAACCCTAAATATTTAAGGGGTAGCGCGAAGTTCGAGGCTGGAGTTACAGTCAGGAATTTGCCCAGTTCTGGGATAGGTGGGTTGTGTGCCATGGAGCTCTTTGTGTACCAATATGGTTACTAGGAACCAAACGTATAATTAGGGCTCATCATCAGCCTAAGTGCACAGGCTAAATCACATCACTATTTGTGTGTTCTTACACGCGTTTTAAAATTCCCCGACCAGCATTTTACTCAATCCACTGCAGGAATCTTGGTGAAAAAACTTAGTGCACACTGCAAAGTGTGGCAATCCGTGTCCCCAATTTTGGGAACTGCCCAACAATGTCCGTGAAGTCTACGTTAAAGTTACAGCAGTGCATCCAAAGTTTTTGAAAATTTACATAAATCGCATTTATCATTTCAGTGTTTTGCATGAAAACTGCAGACTGCCGCAATACTGTCAGCTTTTTCAAAGGCGAGGTGATTTCGAAAAATCCTAGGTCATTCGTATGTCCCTGAAATATCGGATAGCTCCTGAAGTACTTGTATAGCATCCCATACTCCATACTTGTCTACAGTGCGCCCAGAGTTTGTCCTGATGAGTCACATTGCACCTGACATCTTCACTAGCTAGGTTATTGCTAATGCTCCTGGGATATCTTACTCACTGCTGCCTAACTTAATAAATCGGGGCAGTTAGATCATGCATAATAATCAGTTGAGTAGTCTCTTTATTTGGACTAATTAGTTTTACAGAAGAAATAGGTGTTATCTTAACACGCTACTTTTAAGCCTTTCAGTATTCCTTTTACAAGCCAGCGTAAATCAAATACACTGCTTTGAGTCCACTTCTTGAAACAGAGGTAGTGCCCTCTGGATTTTAAAGAGTTTCCTAGGTTTTTCATCCCGTCGCTCGCTTGTCGTAGCTATGATAGGCAAGGATGATTTTAGTTTTGAATTTATTAATATAAGGCCGTACGTGGTGGTTGCTTCTCACTTTGGGCAATGGGAAAATCGGTTGCACATATCCTATCCGTTCCTAAATGATTATCCATTCCCAAACAACGTGTATCACCATGCAGTTGCAGGGTGCTAGTTCCGGTGACCGTTTATGGCCGATTGGCTTTTATTCGGATGTGTGAAAACCTCTCTACTACTAGGACCTGAGACAGTAGGATTGCATTTATCTTCAAAACTTGTTGTCACCCTAAATGGAGGTGGTGTACCTTGAGGTGCATGCCTACCCTTGTAGTCTATAAAGATTTACGGGCGCGATGTTTAACCCTAGTTTATTACACGAGTTAGCCACTGCATCTGGTCGAACATTGCCTTTTGTTCAAGCAGACTTCCACTACACACCGGTTCCTTGAGCAGTATAAGGCAGTTTGATCGATTACCCGCAGTTCTGTGTTCAGTACTTATTTTCCTGTCATCCCTTCTTTAGAGGTTAGTACACACTTAAAATGTTCCAGGATCTTATTATTCTGTGTCATACTACAAAGATTATACCTAAAAGCGTATGCAGCTGTTTCCCCTGCAATTTTATAACCACCTGATACTAGCACGACAGTGTTTTTATGCCTTACGCGTGTAAAAAGTCTATCAGTTGTGGTTTTGGGTATTATTGAGTTCATACTCCCAAAATGGTTTGCTGGACTCTTTTGGTTGGCAGTCTGTGGTTTTGGAAATAACTACTGTCTTGAGCTATCGTTAGCAATACGTTTATTGTGTTTTCTGATTGTACTTGGTCAAGGACTGGCTTGGGAAATGTTATTAGGTAAACAGCCAGTAAAGATAAATTAGAATGATATATCAGATGTATTGTGGAACAAGTGTAAGATAGGATTGAATAATAGTCAGTTTCCATTTTCGTTTATAAAATTCATGGTCAATAAGAACATGCGATGAAATTATATATATATATATATATATATATATATATATATATATATATCAGCAAATGTACAGGTTTTAAGGGTTAGTGTAATCAGTGGTGTGTGAGACAATATGAATACTACAGAAAAGTAAACTAACAAATGGAATAGACTAGGTGTAAGTTCAAGGGTAACAAATAATAGGAATAGTGGTGGTGAAATAATAAAAATGGTGTGGTGTAAACTCAAAAGTATTATTTTTTCTACGAGTTTGACCACGGATTGATATCAGTTAGAGAACCATTGAAAACCAGAACAGGAGTTCTGGACAGCTGTTTCATCCTAGTTCGGGAATCATCGGCAATACGGGACCATCGACATAGTTCGAACCCAAGACCTTCCGGTAAGAAGGCGAGCTCGTATACCATTTAGCCACTGGAACCCGATTCAATGGCCAGTCCATGAATTTTAATTTCTACCAATTCGTGATTTATCGAGACCACCAACCAATGTCATCAGTGGGAAATCTATCCTCACACTTGACTGGTTAGACCTCAGTGGTCACGACTTCTCACTAGAACTCGAGGAAACTCCGGCCTTTAACAAGTCACTAGCGAGCATCAGATTAATTTTCAAGATTTGGTTTGTCGGGTGCGTACTGCCGATGATACCCAAACTAGGATGAAACAGCTGTCCAGTACTCCCTGCTAGTTTTCAATGGTTCTCTAACTGATATCAATCCGTGGTCAAACTCGTAAAAAACAAATGTAATCCTTATAAACCAACTCTTGAGAAAGTATTATTGCTGAACGGTTATCAATTGCAATTCAATACAGTTGGCAATGAGTCTCACCTGTTGTGTGAGGGCTAATGATACTGCCTGTCATCCCAAATTCCGGTATTTATTTGTTTGTTTTAATAAGGCAATGTTTTCATGTAGTGATGCGGAATTGGAATTGACCCTGACTCCAGTGACTCAAATTCTGACTTGTCACCACGGTTTAGTCTTTTAGACTTATCATACGCGGATGATATAGTCCTCCTTGGTGAAGATGCTGATAAAATTCAGTCTGTTGAACAGCAATCGTGGAGTATTTGGTATGCGATTTTACACCTGTCAACTGTAAAATGATGCTACAGGACTAGACTACATTGACTTCTAGCTTTAGAGATAGGGAATGAATTGATAGAGTGCGTTGACCGATTCACTAATTTAGGAAGCTGTATCTGTCTTAATGGACTGATTGCTGACAACATCTCATTATGGATACGAAAGTCTTGTGTGACATTCGCCAGCTCACACCATTTCTGGCGTAGACTACATATCTGTCTATCGACCAAAAGACGCTTGTACTACTCAGTAGTTTGCTCCATCCTCCTTTATGGCCGTGAAACACGGTGGCTGTATTCTATCGCCTGTGTTTGGTGGTATAGTAGGGTGAGTAATATTGAGGTTATGCATCAAGTGTTAAGTAAGGATGGCAAGTCAATTTATGAGGTTGTGAAGCTACATAGATTAAGATGGCATGAACATGTGTTACTCTTGCAAAGTCATTGCCTCTCGCGACGGGTAATGTTATCCGACACAGGATTAGGTTGGAAAAGAGCTAGTAGTGGTCAAAACAAAACTTGGAATGGGTTCATGAAATCTGTGACAGTTAGTTTGGGCCAGCCACTTAGGGAGGTGTAGACTACCTGAGTGACTGGTTAGGGTCCTGGAGATCCTAAGAACCATTGATTGGAGATAATTCCTAATATGGTTCAAAATCGTCCTAAATGGCACAGATGCGTTCACTCTTCTCTAACTACATTTTGCGTGTCAAGTGGTAGTGCAGTACTTTATACCATTTACAGAATAAATTCGTAACAGTAATAGTATTCTCATTGATTATAGATGTCTATTAGAAAATTTCAAAAGATTGATTACTGCGTTCTATCTCCCGTGTGAAATGGTATAATAGAGTGAGCAATATTGAGGGTAGGCTTCAGTCGAATGCTAGGTAAGTGGGGGGGGGGAAATCAATCGACGAGGCTGTGAAGTTACATCGGCTGAGATGGTTACATATGTTCAGTCATCGCCTTCCTCGACAATGAGCAATGTTAGCTGACATAGGGTCAGGTTGGAAAAGAGCTGGCGGCGGTCAAACCAAAACATGGCACCAGTCAATGAAATAAATCCACAACAGTTAGTTTAAGCCAGCCAGCCACGTAGGAAGGTGTAGACTTCCTGGTTGGGTCCTCGGGACGGTAAACACCACTGACTGGAGATATGGCTCAAAATCGTTCTCAGTGGCTGGTGCAGATGTATCCACTCCTTGTGACTTATAATTTCCAATAAAACTATATTGTTCTTCGATATTACTATTCTTTTTGCCTCATCTATGTTTTGCGTTTCTTTTTACTTTCTTCTCTGGCTTTGTGTGCTGAGTGAAGTATGGCGACTCGAACTGCTGCACATTGGTGCAATGTTCTATGTTGGAACCAGTCGTTCATATTACTGAACAGAGAATATTCTCCAAAACTTCAAAATCATCAGGTTCTACAGTTATATTTCTATAATAATGAAAGAATGATTGTTATTGACAACATTAATGGTTTCTAAAGAATAATATGGAATCACTAATCTTGTCAATAACAGTCATCCTTTCATTATTATAGAAATTTAACTGTAGAACCTGATGATTTTGAAGTTTTGGAGAAGAATATTCTTTGTTCAATAATCAATAATATTCTCACACCATATTCGTGTACTGCTTACACTCTTTACATCTCTGTAGAAATCTAATATAAGTTTCATATGGTTCCCTTGATGAGTGAACACGGCAATAGTTTCACAGGACTTAACTTCATACCATCACAAATTTGATTATGATTGACAATATGCTAGGTAAATAAGAAAAATCAATCGATGAGGTTGTGAAGCTGAATCGATGGCTAGGATACGTGTACCGAATAATCGCCCTCCTCTTTGAGTAATGTTAACTGACTTGAGATGAGATTAGAAAAGAATTAGAGTTGGTCAAATCAAAACCTCGCATCTATCCATCATAAAGTCTCTGACTGTTGGTTTGAACCACATAGAGAACTGTAGACTGGTTGGTTGGGATCGTCGAAATGCTTAGAATCTATAGCCTGAGACTTTATGCTATAGCTCGAAAATCGTTGTCAGTCGTGCACGTCAATTCAGCCTCTGCAATCGTTTATCATTCTGAAACCAATCAAATCCCTGCAACCCAACACTTGACTTGAACACCAATCTGATGGTCACTATTGACTGGGACCTATTCAGGTAGATAAATACCTGGGTTCTTGTGGGGAGTTGTCACCAGTGGAGTACAGCGGGTCTGGCGTGAGGACAAATACTCGCCAGCGATAACATTGGCTAGTGCTTGAGCTATATCATGAATTGGCAAAAGTTAGAATTCATGCGCTGACTGGCCATTGGATTAGCAGGTCCCAGTCACTTAGTGACCTACAAGCTAGCTCGCCTTGTAGAGTCAGAAGATTCTGGGTTCGAACCCCAGTAGCAGTGCGTACTGATAAAGAGTACGAAACAGCCGTCCAGTACTCCAAGGTTTTCTAATGATCTTCTAACCGATGTCAGTTCATGATGAAATCCTGAAGCCAATCACATATTATTTGAATTAATGTAGTAAAGATATTCTCCCTCCCCTTTTAAAAAAATGTTTTTGTACTATTTTCTAGGCATCATGGTTCGCTTTTGGAAACATCGTGGACAACGCATATTTAAATATCTTCAACCACACATTCAAAAATATTTTCCTTATCATAAACCAGAAATGCATGGTGTTTCACCTCAACGTGCTATACTGGCAGGAAAAAAGCCAAAAATTCCTTTTGATTATGCAATCGGTCAGATAGTTCCATTTACACAAAGTTTAACAACTTCATCATTCCCTGATATTGTAAAAGTTCGTCTACACAAGCTATGCTTAAATCGTTTCCTGCTAAAGGTATTCACGAACTAACCTTTTTTTAATTAATTTTTCCTGTAGTATTTCTATCAAACAGCCACATATTGGGTACATACACAAGGTTTACCAGTCAGCGTTGGAGATATTGTACTCGTTGAGAAAGCAGATCCCCCACTGGCATTAAATACTATGTATAAATTGAAGAAAGTTGAATTTCCTGTTGGTAATCTTATTGATCCTGTGACTGGACTACGTTCTGAAGGTCCACAATATTCTATTGATGCTTTGAAGACTATTTTAAGCAAACAGTCATCAAGTTAATAATGTGAAAGTCCATAACATTTTTCACTTTCTGTAAATAGTGTTACTTTTTCTCTAAAATACACACCATAGTTCTTCTGAACTTTCGTTTTCCACTGAAGCTCACCTGTCATTATATAATAATGATTGTCTGCCAACGGGTTGATCGCTAACGAAATCTCAGCATGAATACAGAAGGCTCGTTCGACATATGCCGGCCGACTTACATTATCTCTGGCGTAGACGTGATATCTGACTGACTGTCGACCAAAAAACGTGTGTATTGCTCGGCGATTCGCTCTGTCCTCCTCCTTTATGGCTGGCTGTTACACACGACCATTGAAAGTGAGAGATATGAAAAGCCCGGTTAGCTGTCTTTGACCGTAGGTGTCTGCGTTCTACCTCCCGTGTTAAGTGGTGGTATAATGGCGGGTGAGCAATATTGAGTTTAGGCGTGGGTCGAGTGCAAAGTGAGTGGGAGGGGAAATCAATCGACAAGATTGTTGTGAAGTGACACCGATGGAGAGTGATGGTTAGGCTATGTGTTAAGCATGTCTATCTAGCCTAGCCATCGTCTTTCTCGACAAAGGGTAATGTTAGCTGAATGTCATAGGATGGATCACGTTGGAAATGAGTCAACTAGTGGTGATCAAACCAAAACATATCTTCATCAGTCAATGAAACAAACCCACAACAGTTAGTTTAACCTAGCCACATAGGGAGGTGCAAACTTGATGACTGACTGGTTGGGTTCCTCTGGATGGTAAGAACCAATGGTGGTGGTCGGAGACAATCGGTGATATGGCTGGAAGTCGTTCTCAATGTCTGGCGCAGATGCGTCCGCTCTTTGTGATATCCAATACAATTCTGTTGTCTTTCCACAATACTATTCCATTTTACCTCACATTTCTTTTTATTATCTCTTTTGAATCTCTATATACTCTCTTCTCTTGCTTTGTATGATACATGGAGATAGTGTGACAACTCGAACTGCTGCATATCTGTGCGAAGTAGTTCTACGTTGAAAGTCAGTTGTACACAGACTGACTGCTGAAGCCCTACATTTATGGGAGAATCCCAAAAGCTTGAACAGGTGTGATGTGAACAGCTGATGCGTGGCTAGTCCTGATTAATAAATAAAAAATCGATGTGTATCACTAATTTATCATATTTAATCTACATTAGGAATGATCGGCAGTACGCACCCACTGGGGTTCAAACCCAGGACCTTCCGGTCGCAAGGCAAGCTCGTATACCATTTAGCCATTAAGTCAGGGCCCAGTGGCTAAATGGTATACGAGCTTGTCTGGTAACCGGAAGGTCCTGGGTTCCTACCCTGGCTGTGGGGTGGCTGCTTACTGCTGATGATTCCCAAACTAGGATGAAACAGCTATCCAGTACTTCAATGCTGGTTTTTAATGGTTCTCTAACTCATATCAATCTGTGATCAACTCATAAAAACAAAACTAACTCTTACAAACCAAATATAGATATTTGGAATTTAATTTATGGATGGTGACTGGCAGTGTAATCCAGAATGAAAATTTCGTCCTATTTGGGACTCGTCATCTGGATGTACCTGCATTTCCCGCTGAGTGATGATGTTCCCACCGAGGCTCGAACCCAGTGGCCATAGTTTCAAACGTCAAAGCGTTATCCACTAGACCAAGAGAGACACCTCTTGTGCAACGGGTCATATTGATTTAAATGAATTTTAGATTTTTCGACAATGCAGCGTTGACCATGAAGTTATAATTTGGAAACTAATTCAACACTGCGGAGTACAGTGCCCCTCAAATCTTTATCAACTTTATTAGACAGCTATATGAGGTGCCACGTAATCCACAACGGAAAATTCATCGAAGCCGCTGAAGTGAAGACAGGAGGAGTAAGTCAAAGCTACCTATTACCACCGATGATATTCTTAATTGTGGTGGACTGGATTATGCGGAGGACTAAGGGAAGCAGGCAGATAGGAACATATTGCACTGACTGATAAAAAGACGCTAGAAGATCTAGACTTCGCGGAAGATCTGTGTATAGTATTGAATAAATCCGAAGACTTACAAGCGAAAATAACAAGTTGGCCGAAGAGAAAGGCAGCAAATACAGGACGTAGATAAGATGGAGGCAGTGGAGATAACCAACCAAAAGCAACAACAACCAGCACCGATCCCTATCCACGGGAGAAATTTGACAGAGGTCACTTCCTCTCACCCTCACCCCAAAAGTATGGTGGAGGTATGTAGATGACACTTGCACTGTACTTAGAACAGAGCATATAGATAGATTTTTCCAACACATTAACTCAAAGGTGGAGGCAATTCAATTCACTTATGAATTGGAAAGTCACGAAGGGGAACTTCCAATGTTAGATTGTAGCGTAAAAAGGAAAGAAGATGGGAAGTTAAAAGACACTAGTGTTTACAGGAAACGGACACATTTAAACAGATATTTGGACTTCCGATCATCCCATCCTATGTCATTAAAAATAGGATTGGTGAAATGTTTAAGTGACAGAGTACAAAAACTAAGTAGTACCAAGGAAAATCTAAGACAGGAAGTGATATATATAAGAGAAGCCTTGAAACGTAATAATTCCCCTGATAAATTAGACAGGAAATATGTGGGGAAATGTAAAAATAAAATAAATAATGATAGTAGTGATAGTGATAACAATAATAATATTAATGACCACATGTATGTCAAACATGCGCAAGACAACACCAACAATGAAGAATCTAAATCATCAGTAGTAATTCCATACGAGGAAGGAACCTTGGAAATCTTACGCAGAATTCTTTACAAGGCAGGAATACAAGTGACTGGCATTCAAACCCACAAACTCAATTAGAAACAAGCTTTGTCGGTTAAAGGAACAATGCTATGGAGCTTTTGAAACAAATCAATTTAGTTTATCTAATACCCTGCCAGAATGATTGTCAGGTCAAATACATAGGTCAAACTAGTAGAACAGGGGCAGTCAGACTAGCTGAACATAAAAACTTAGCAAAATCTGTGCGTCGGTGGCACAGTGGTTAGGACTCTCGCCGACCATGCACGTGGTCCGAGGTTCGATCCCCTTCCGACGCACACCCGATATCTATGGTCGGCCTGCAAAATTTGGGCTACCGATATCCATGCTGAAAATTCCATACTTGTACCGAAAATACGGTGTGGCATCAAGCTGTAACTAAAATTTTAAAAAAATAAGATAAGAAATCTAGAGAATAGTTCAGCTATAGCACTACACCACATGCAATTACACACAACCATACAATAGGATGATGGGATAAGATGACAGTTTTAAAATCTAATATCACAAGATGGAGGGAGAGATTGATAACGGAAGCTTTGTTTATCGAATCAACTGCAAATACATGTAACAGGGATGATTCAACACCTGTCCACCCAGATATCTGGAAAATTCTATTACCCCTACGACGACAAATAGGAGAGGACAAAGAAAACTATAAAACTGAAGTTTCGAAGTCGTGTGATTATAATAGATGGAATGATTACGAACGGTAATAAATTTTGTTCGAAACTGTGTCATCCAGTAAATAATACTGTTTCACTGACTGTGTGATATATCTAATAAACAAACCAATATGGAATTGCTTACTACCACAGTGCTAAAGTTTTACACATATTTTAATATGTCACTTCCTCCACTTATCTAGGCAACATCGTTTTAATGATAGGCGGTGGCACGGATGAGAGTATCAAAACCAGAATCAAAAAGGCTACGAAGACCTTCATCACTCTGAGATCAATGTGGAAATTTTCCGCATTCAGCAAAAACAACAAACTCCTAATTTTCAACACCAGTGTTAAATCATTTCTTGTATGTGGGTCAGAAACTTGACCAGCGCATCAAGAAAAGCATTTCCAGCAGGTTGCAGACTTTTACCAGCAGCTGACTTCCATAGTAAATAAAGAGCAGATGGCCAGAAAGAATAAGCACCAGAAAACTCTGGGGACAGACGAAACAAGAACCTACCGCTCAACAAATATGTAGAGGAAAATGGAGACGGATCAGATACAAGCTGAGGAGACTGTTGAGGTAATATCGACTATCTCCAGGCCATCACTTTAGTGGGACCTGGATGGGAAACAACGAGATGGACGTCCGAGAGTGACATGGAGGAGATCGCACGTGTGTATATACCGATCACGCACTGGTCCGCGCTCGTGTGTGCTTACGACTGAACGAACGTAGGAAACAGCTGGCGGTAAATCCATCACGTCCCCAGCTCGACCAGGAAACTAAGTCCCTATTTGAGGAAGAACTAGCTAAACACATATCTGAGTTCGACAGCTGCGCTCACCCTGAAGAAGCCTGGAAGAATATTCAGTCAGCCATAGATACAGCTGTAAAAGCTGTGAATAAGGTAAATCCAAAGGTGAGTAAAAACCATTGGATTTCGACCGCCTCATCCGAACTGATAGATGCTAGAAGACTTATTCCGGCGAGCTCGAATTCAATGAGGAGCGAAAGCTGCACAAAAAGAAACTTACGAAAAGTCTCCGCAAGGACCGTGAACAGTGGTGGTTGACAAAGGCGAAAGAGATGGAAAAAGCATCGGCGATAGGCAACACCAGACAACTATTCAGGCTTATCAGGGAAACAGGTGGTAAAAGGCAAATGATAAGCGAAACAATCTCCGAGAAAAATGGCACCATAATTAGCTCCCAGGATAGACGTCTGGAGCGCTGGAAAGAACACTACGAGGAGCAGTTTAATTGGCCCACATCCACACTTAGCCTGCCGGACATCCAACACCTCCCTGAATGGAATATAGACACAGGTCCTCCGTCCCTAACTGAGGTTACTAAAGCTGTCACCAATCTGAAGCTAGGCAAGGCAGCGGGACCTGATTTATTGACTACAGAGGTATTTAAGTACGCAGACAGTTTACTGTCTGCGTTAACGGAGGTTCTAGGCAGCGTCTGGGGATCAGAGAAAGTCCCATTGGGTTGGTGTAAGTCACTGATCATCCCGATATACAAGAAGGGGGACAAGTCGTCTTGTGATAATCACAGAGGGATTAGCTTGACTAATATAGTATCTAAAATCCTAGGCTCAATAATACTGCGTAG